CCAGAGTCGCAATCTCTAGAACATGGGCAGAGCTGGAGTCATGGGGCTCCTTCGGGAAACCCAGTCCTTTTCAGAACTTCCCTGAGAGCTCACATCCCTTCCCATCACCCCCACCACCCCTAACTGCACCTTGATGTCCTCGGCGTTGGCAGCCTGCAGCTTCTCACGGAAGTGCCCGTCTGTCTCCAGCACATTGATGACCTCCTGGAGGTACCGGTGGTAGTACAGACCTGTGTCCTGAGGCGACAAGGATGGACATAGTAGCCCCAGCTCCCACCCTGTCTCCGGTTCCTCCCCTGGGAAGCTGCTGAGTGACCCAGGGACCCTCCGTGTGGAGCAGGTGGCCTATCTCATAGGACAAAGGCTTCAGGCAAGCAGACTCCAGTTCAAAGTCCATCTGCTGTATAACCCCAAGCAAATTGCCTGACCCCGTGGGCTACAGTTTTCTCCTCTTCCTAGGTCTATAGCACAGATGAAATGAATATCATATGGGTGAACACCCCAGCCCAACACTGCCCCTCAGAGTTGGTGCTTAGAAGGGACATAACTTTGTTAGGAAGCAGTGAAATATAACTTCATTCATCCATTCATCAATCCATCCATTCGCTCATTCGATAAGCATTTACAAGCCCCTATCATGTGCCGCGCAGTGTCCTAGGGAAGACAGCACGTGAACAAGACAGACAAAAATCCCTGGCCTCCTGGTCTTATCCCTGCCATGCATAGTTGGGTGGCATTTTATGCTCCCTGGGCCTTGCTCTTTCTATTTGTAAAATAGGCAAGGTATTTTCTACCTCCCAGAGCTGTAGTGAAAAGTAGGTGAGATAAACTGCCTGGCACAATGAAGAGGGTAGAGAAGATATTCAGTCTACTACAGCTATTATTACATAGATCGATGAGCATACGGTAGGTGTGCCTTATCATTACTATTACATATCTTGGATCATCCAGCTATGCCATTGTGGGTGTATTACTTTCGTGTGGCTGCTGGAACAAAGTATCACAAGCTTAGTGGCTTAAATCAACACAAATTTATTCTCTTAGAATTCTGGAGGTCAGAAGTCCAAAATGGGCTAGCAGGACTGCGCTCCTTCTGGGTGCTCTAGGGGAGAATCTGTTCCTTACCTTTTCCAATCTCCAGAGGTTGACCGTGGTCACTGGCTCATGGCCCTGCATCACTCTGACCTCTGCTTCTGTAGTCACCTTTCCTTGTCCCCGTGGGCTACAGTTTTCTCCTCTTCCTAGGTCTATAGCACAGATGAAATGAATATCATATGGGTGAACACCCCAGCCCAACACTGCCCCTCAGAGTTGGTGCTTAGAAGGGACATAACTTTGTTAGGAAGCAGTGAAATATAACTTCATTCATCCATTCATCAATCCATCCATTCGCTCATTCGATAAGCATTTACAAGCCCCTATCATGTGCCGCGCAGTGTCCTAGGGAAGACAGCACGTGAACAAGACAGACAAAAATCCCTGGCCTCCTGGTCTTATCCCTGCCATGCATAGCTGGGTGGCATTTTATGCTCCCTGGGCCTTGCTCTTTCTATTTGTAAAATAGGCAAGGTATTTTCTACCTCCCAGAGCTGTAGTGAAAAGTAGGTGAGATAAACTGCCTGGCACAATGAAGAGGGTAGAGAAGATATTCAGTCTACTACAGCTATTATTACATAGATCGATGAGCATACGGTAGGTGTGCCTTATCATTACTATTACATATTTTGGATCATCCAGCTATGCCATTGTGGGTGTATTACTTTCGTGTGGCTGCTGTAACAAAGTATCACAAGCTTAGTGGCTTAAATCAACACAAATTTATTCTCTTAGAATTCTGGAGGTCAGAAGTCCAAAATGGGCCAGCAGGACTGCGCTCCTTCTGGGTGCTCTAGGGGAGAATCTGTTTCTTACCTTTTCCAATCTCCAGAGGTTGACCGCGGTCACTGGCTCATGGCCCTGCATCACTCTGACCTCTGCTTCTGTAGTCACCTTTCCTTGTCTGACTAACCCTCCCGCTTCCCTTTCAATAAGGATCCTTGTGATTATCAGCACCACACTCTCCCTTTTTTCTTTTCTAAAAAGATGACTGGTAAGGGGATCTTAACCCTTGACTTGGTGTTGTCAGCACCACGCTCTCCCAAGTGAGCCAGGGGCCGGCCCAGGTCCTTGTGATTATGCTGGGTCTACCAGGATAATCGCCCCACCTCTGATTCTTAACTTAATCAAAGCTGCAAAGCCACCTAAGGCAACATATTCACAGGTTCTGGGGGATTAGGGCAGTGGACATTTTTGGGGCCATTATTCAGCCAAACACAGTGGACTGGAATCCCAAATCTGCCACTTACTAAGCTCTGTGACTTTGGTAGGCCTGCCAGGATACCCAGTAAATTTAAAATTCAGAAAATCAAAGAATAACTTTTAGTGTAAGTATATTGTGTGGGGCACACTTGTATTAACAATTATTCATTCTTTATCTGACATTCAAATTTAACTGGATGTCTTGTATTTTTATTTGCTAAATCAGGCTATCTTAGATCTTGGGCAAGTTACTTAACCAGTCTGTGCCACGGTTTCCTCAACCATAAAGTAAGGTTAATGAGTACCCACCTCATAGAGCTTTCGTGAGAATTAGATGGAATTAATATCCTTAAATACTTAACAAAGTGCCTGCGATTTGGTGGGGATTGTTAATGTTATTATGATTGTTGTTGTTTTCACTGATGTTTATAATTTTCTGTTCTTTCTATTAGCCTTAGAATAAAGAATACATTCTCTACCATGGCCCACAAGATCCCAGATGATCTCTCACCCCTCTGCCCCTCACCTGTCTGCTCCAGCCACACTGGCCTCCTTGAAATCCCTCAATTCACCCTGCTCTCTTCTACCACACAGCCTTTGCCCAGGCTGTTCCCTCTGCCTGGAATGCTCTTCCCCTCTACTTCCTCTCTTCCCTGCTCTTGACCTAACATCTCCCTCCACTTCAGAACTCAACTCATGCATCCCTTCCTCCCTGACCATCACCCCTGGTGTCCATTCTCATAGAGCCTTGCTCTTTGTCTCCCAGGGAACCAGCTGGTCCATGAGGGCATGGGGCTTGCCCATGGCTATGTCCCAGTGACTAGCACTGTGCCCAGCTCTTAGAAGATACTCAAGAAATGTGTGGAATGAATGAAGGGAAAGGGGACTCAAAGGTGCCCTTCTGTGTCTGTAAAGATTACACAGAACAGACGCCTAACTCACTGGGTGGGAGCCTGCCATACAGGAGCATACAATGACCTTTCCCAGGAGGTAAGGACCTGCCCATTCCTAGGGGAAGCCACAGGAAGATTCAGGCCACAAAACAGGGCATTGGTCTTCAGGATCCTTAAAGTTCCAAATCCCCTAAAAACTAAGGTTTCATAGGATTCAATAAACACGCGTTGGAATTAATAAATGAGGTAATGGGCCACAATAATCAACCACATTGTATATCGACAAAATAAAATTAAAAAAAAAAAAAAGGAATTAATAAATGAGCAGTCCGTGTGTCCTTTCCTAATTTAAACTACAATTCCCATGAGCCCCATGAAGTAAGAACACCCCAGCTACTTAATGTCAACTGCTCATGGTGCTACTGGGAAATGTAGTTCTTTTTTTTTTTTTTTTTCCCTTCTGGGATGGGGAGGATCTTAAAAGAACAGAGAGGTTTAGGCAGGGAGTAATACAAATTTTTCTCTTAAAAGATGACCCGATTTTCCACACCTCAGAGTCAGGGACCTCCAGCTTTTAACCAAGTCAAACCCCCGATACTGCAAAGAATGGCAGGCAAATGACAAGGCACAACGGTGAGGCCAGGGAGTCACTGGAGCATCCACTCAGGGGCCACGGGAGTTCGCGGGAATTTAGTAGCCCTGCAAACACCTGGATGGAGACAGAGCAGGGCCACTCACCGGGCTGTCGGTCGCGGGGCTCTGCTCCTTGTTGGGCGCCGCCCGCTCCAGAGGCACGGCCAGCACAGCGCGCAGCAGCAGCAGCAGCAGCAGCGGCCGAGGCAGGAAAAGGAGGGCTCCGCGGGGCCCACAGGGAGGCATGGCGGCGTGGTCTGTGAGCGGCGGAGAGCTGGATAATGGATAATGTCTGTCCCAAGCCCGCTACGCTCTTGGACCCAGGAGTCTGTGCCCTCAGCACCGCCCCCCACGCTTTCAAGAATCAGGACTCAAAGCGTTTCGTTACCCGGGACCCAAGATTCCAGGCCTCCAAGCCTTCCCTTCCTCCGACACAGAAGTCCGGGTCCTCGGACCCAGGAGTCCCGGCTCCCAACACCCGCATCCCTCAGACTCAGGAATCCAGAATCTCGGCCTTCTCCTCCCGCAGACTCAAGAGTCCACGCCCCCAGCCTCCTATTTCCCAAGAACCTATAAGTACTGGCACCTGCCCATCCTCTTCCGGGACCCAGTTTTCCAGTCCTCTGGCCCCCATCCTCCCCAGGACCCGAGAGTCGGGAATACTAAACCCTCACCTCTCTTTCACCGAGAAGGGCTTTTTCTCCAGCAAGGACCTGGGTACGTTGTCGGTAATTTCCCCCAGGCCACGCCCACTTTCCAGCAGAGTCCACGCCCCCAAACTCTGATTGGTCCACGCTGGCTCCGGCCCTTTCGTCTGCATCTAGCGGCCCCGCCCCTTGCCGAAGTCTCTCGCCTTTTCTCGAAAGTCTCGCCTCCTTTCTCGAAAGCCCAGCCTCTTGATGCCGCATTTCCTGCCATTTAGGCAAAAAGAGAGCGGAGCCTTTCAAAGAGGACTACAACTACCTGCGGGCACGGGGACAATAAGGCAACTTCTGCGGGCGTCTTGGTCCCTTTGCCTCATGGGAGTTGTAGTTTTCCCATTTATTTTTGCCCCAAGAAGTGCCTGCAAGTTACAGCTCGGTAGCAATTAATTGCACAGCCTACCTTGTAAGAGATGTGCAGAGCGAGACTGCGAGGCGGCCTCTCTCGAGTCTCTTTAAGGAACACCCGCGCGCCATGCTAACTCAGAATCCCGGGAGCAGGGCTGCCCGGCTTCAGCGGTGGCCGGGGATCGCTGCTTTGTTGGAAGTGGAGCGTGAGGGCCCAGGAGGGAAGGGACTAGGGCAGGCTCAGTAGGAATTCCCCCATTCCCTCTGAGCCCTCTTTCTTCTCTTGCTTACTTCCCAGAAACCCAGAGATTAGGTCCCCAGCTCCCAAAGAGAGGATTAGGTATGTTTAGAGATTGTCCAGAGAGGTGAAGCACTGAGGCACGAACACGAGCAGTCTCGCCAGGCGCCAGGCACCAGGCACGAGGGGAGGAGCGAGAGTCTCTAGGATCCCAGGCAGGCTGGCAGTGGGGGGTCTGCGTACACTGGGGGTCAGGTGTTTGGGGCCCATAGTCCTGAGTTCCAATGCCTGGGTGCAGGGGAGTGTTAAGTATTTGGAAGAAGGAGAGCTGGGTTTCCCCCGATAGCAAGAAAAGCTGGAAACAGGCTACTGGGTCCTTGCCAGGAATGGGTGCTGGGATTCAGGTTGCCTGGGTCCAGGAGAAAATGTAAGGCTTAGGATCAGGTGTTGGAGGGCAGAGTCCACTGAGATGTTGGCTCTGGGTCGTGACTCCTCATTCTTGCTTCTCCAGAATGTCTCAGGAGAATGAGACACGGAAGAAAGAGCAAGTGGGGAAAGGATGGGCAGGGGTGGGGATAGAGGTGGAAAGGGGTAGTTAAGGCGCGATTGTGCGCCCACGCACTCAGCTCTGGGATCGTAACCAAGTTTGCAGATTCAGCACCATCAGCCTTGTGGGAAGGGGCTGGAGACCTGAACTCCTGGGTCCTAAAGGGAGGGAGTGGGTCTGAAAGAAGAGGGGCTAAAGGCCCAGACTCCTGAGTCCTGAGACAAGAGGGATCTGGGATCTCTGACTTCTGGATTCTAGACTGGCCAATTTGTTAAGAAAGAGCTTCTTCAAAACTGGTAGAGCAGGCTGAGGTTCTGCACCTTCTGTGACCTCACATATGCTCAGAACCTAAGTTGGGCAGTGGGCAAGAGGGGAAGGAGAGGCCCTTGGGCGATCAGCATGTCCTGCTTGCTGTCACCATTAGCCTACATCTCTCTCTCTCAGGACCCTAGGGGATGAGCTCGCTGCCCTGAGGCTGCAGGAGCTGGAACAGCAGGGACAGTGTGCAGGAATCTTGCCACTCCTACTCTTCCATCTTTCACACCTTCCCAGAAACCCCATGCCCAGGACCTGCTCTGGGACTTTTGGCCCATGTTGGCTCTCTCTGGGCCTCAAGTTCTCCAACTGGGAAATGAGAAAATAGGAATTCAGGTCCTAAAAAAGCAAACCCTGGTAATGAGACTCCAAAATGTCTAAGAAACAAGGGTTCTAGAGGGTAAGACTCCTCGGTCCTAGGAAAGGAGGGAACTGAGTGCCAGGACCGCTGGATCTGAGGGAGGAGGGGTTGGGGACTGAGGTCCTGGACACCTGGGACCCAGTGGAGGAGAAGGTTTACAGACTCTTCCACCATTGCACGCCTCCCTTTACCCCAGGCCGCACCTCGCCCCCGTCTTCCCGTCTGCTTGCTGCCCCCCACCCTCCCGTTCCCGCAGAGGCAGCTATTTCAGAAGAAGCAACAACGACGTTTCCAATCCTGATGTTTCCCTGCGGACCCGGCGACCGCGGCACCGGGAGGAGCGCCTCCCGCGCGACAGAGGCGAGGAAAGGCTCCTAAGGCTTGGGGGCGTCTTTGGTCTGGAAGGAGGGGCCTGTGGGAGCCCGGGGGCGGGGCCTAGTGGGAGTCAGAGGGGCGGGGCCTAGTGGGGGCCTAGGGCTGGGCATTGGTAGAAGATGGGGGCGGGCCCCGGCAGAGCCTCTGGGCGGAGCCCAGTAGAGCTTGAGAGCAGGACCTGGGGGACCGCAGGAGCGGGACCTGCGAGGGTTCTGGACCCGGCTAGAGAGAGCGCGGGGGCGGGACGTGCTGTAACTGGAAGGTGGGGCCTGAGGGAACTCGGCGATTGGGGTTGGCGGAGGGCGAGAGTGGAGCCTGGGAGAGCCGGGGACCGCCCGGGGATCGCGGAGGCAGGTAGGAGGGAGTCTCGGGGCCGGGCCAGGCAGAGCGTGGGACTGGAATCGGGTAACTCAGAGAAGTCCTGCAGAGACTATGAGAACGTGGCACGGGACTGTTTACACACGGAACCCGCAACAATTTAGCCGCGGAGCTGTGCTTGTTTGAGCCTTAGGATGGAGTCTGAGTTCTGGGTGAGTCTCGGGGTCCGGGTGTCCAAAGAATCGGGGCGATGTCTGGAAGCCGAGTGAGGAAGCAGATGTTCACAGAGGATTGTGATTTGTAGATCGTTTGATGGGCCTTGCAGCACTTCTCCCAGGCCTTGGGACCCTTCCCTTCAGGAGAACGTGCCAGAGGCACGTCTGCGTTCTGTCGCCCGCAGTGCCCCGGGCACTGTGAACTGCAGTGGAAATGGCAGCGGCGCACGCAGCTCCCTGGCGTCGTCTACAGAAGCAGGTAACCTCGAGTCCTTGAGCCACCTACCCCAGAACTCCACTCCCACTAGAACCCAAGAGTCTGGGACCTCAATCCTTGCTCTGCAAAGGACTCAGGAGTTCAGGACCCCACTCCTCTTCTTCCTCACACCAAGGAGTTCACATCCTGAGCCTCCTCCAACACCCAGGAATCCGAGCCTTCAGCCTTTCCTTCCCCCGTCCTCAGGATTCCCGGTACCCCACCCTATTCTGGCTCCCAGACAGTTCTGATCCGGAGTTGGAGGAAGTCTCCGTGGAGGATGTTCCCGTCTCTCTCCCACCGTATAAAGAGCCTCCAGGAACTCGATGCAGATGTTGGACAGCCCGCCAACAACCTGGTAATTTCGGGAACATCAGGGGGAAATCTGGTCCACTTTTCCATGCCACAAATCCTCCCCTTTTTTGGGTAACAGCTTGAGATATAATTCACATACCACACAATACACCCATTTAAAGTTTACAATTTCACGGTTTTTAGTATATTTATAAGTTGTGCAATCATCACCACAATTTTATTTTATTTATTTATTTATTTTTTTTTTAAAAGATGACCGTTAAGGGGATCTTAACCCTTGGCTTGGTGTTGTCAGCACCACGCTCAGCCAGTGAGCGAACCGGCCATCCCTATATAGGATCTGAACCCGTGGCCTTGGTGTTATCAGCACCGCACTCTCCCGAGTGAGCCACGGGCTGGTCTTCAGGGGTCATCTCTGGACATTTCAACAACACAGTATGTGGTCTTTTGTGTCTGGCTTCTTTCACTCAGCGACCCCAGTGTTCTCAGCACCGCACTCTCCCGAGTGAGCCACAGGCCGGCCCATGAACCCACTTTCTGTCCCTGCTTTCTTCAGGGGTCATCTCTGGACATTTCAACAACACAGTATGTGGTCTTTTGTGTCTGGCTTCTTTCACTCAGCGAGTATTCCACCTCCCCCACCCCCCACCCCTGCTTTCTTTTCTTTGGACTGTGAAGTGTGAAGACTCAGAAGAGATTACTCAGCAAGGTTTTTTTTTGGCGGCTGGCAGGTAGGGGGATCTGAACCCTTGACCTTGGTGTTACAACACCACACTCTAACCAATCTAGCTAACTGAGAGGCCCACTTAGCAACTTTTAAGGTTCATCCATGTTGTAGCATTATTAGTACTTCATTCCTTTTAATTCCTTTATAATATCCCATTGTAGGGCTGGCCCGTGGCTCGCTCGGGAGAGTGCGGTGCTGATAACACCAAGGCCCCGGGTTCTGATCCCATATAGGGATGGCCGGTTCGCTCACTGGCTGAGTGTGGTGCTGACAACACCAAGCGAAGGGTTGAGATCCCCTTACCGGTCATCTTTAAAAAAAAAAAAAATGCAGCCCCTGCTTCAAAAGGAGCACAATTGGAAAAAAAAACAAAAAACAAAAAAACCCAAAACTACTGCCCTTGGAAAGGCAGCGATCTTCGGAGAGAGCGGAGTAGTGATAGGGAAGAGCCAGCTGACATTCACTTGGGTGCTGGTGAAAGTGCAGTAGATGGTTTCACTTGGGGTAGCTCGGGGTGTATTGTGTGTTATCTATAGCAAATAGCACTGGTTGTAGCGAACGGGCAGTGCTCCCAAAGGGATTCTCCACTCAGTAGAGTGGAGTGGGTGTGACTGCAGAAAGAAGCAAATACATTTGGTCAATTAACTGATGTTGAGAGCTTGGCTGGGCAGGCTGCTGAGATGTTTGACCAATGGGCAGAAAACATAGGAGGGAGAGGGTGTAAACCTGAGCTGGGATGGCTAATCAGTAGTTGGCAAGGCTAAGAGCCTGGCTGTTCTCCAACTTTGAATTTGGCACGTGGGCTAGGGCAAAGATTCCGAAGAGGAGAAAGAAAAGTTGGAGTCTGCAGCGACGAACTTCCTAACCGCGACCTACGAGGTGTCGGAAGGCGAGGGCGGCACTGGCAGCAGAGATGTGGGGAGCGCAGCCCTCTGGTCAATCCGCACCCCGGGCCCTGGGCTGGGCGAAAACATGGAGGGTATGTGCTGTGGCAGGCACCGTGGGGCTGCGCAGTACAGTGCTGCATCAACTGCGACAAGCGCGTCGTAGAAGAGTTCATGTTCCCTTATTACTACCTCTACCTGGAGGCGGCCGGTGGCCGGCAGGTGCGGTCCAGTCCCTTTGGCCCTTCAGTCCCCACAGCCTCTGGAGCAACCCCCGCCTCCCAGGGGCAAGTCCCGCCCCTTTCTGAGCAAGGTGAAGACTTTCACCAATCCAGGCCTTCCTCGTCATAGAGCTAGGACCTATCAACTCCAGTGTCAAGCCCTGCCTCTCCCAGAACTAGAATGTTCTCTTTGTAGAGACTAATGGCATAGGCCCTACAGATCCCATAACTAATCCCTGTACACTCTAGGTTTCGGCCTGCCTTTCCCAAAGTCAGGCCACGCTCTCTCAGGGTCTAAAGTCCCACCCATTACACTCCTCTCAAGGTGTGTCAGTCCCTTCTTCATTGTTCTAAGTCTGGTCCCTCAGAGTTCTTTGCTATCGGGACCCACTCCATCCTAGGATAAGTCCCAGCCCCAGGAAGCAACCCCTTCCTCTCGTGGATTTTCCATTCCAGAGCCAAGCCACGGGCTTCTGAGTCGGCCATTCCTCTCTCAGTGTGGTCTCTTCTCCTCAGGGTGCCCTCTCTTTCCCAGAAAGAGGCTTTTCCTCTTCTAAGAGCCAGACCCACTTTTCCTGGATGAAATGCCTACCAATGTCCTGCTGCGATGGTCTAAATGAGACTTTTCTCCATTCTCCAAAGCAGGCCCTACCTGTTACAGTCAAGCCTTGCCCCCGCCTGGGCTGAGTCCCAAACCTAGACCCATTGGCGGAAGGAGTGAGGGGGGCAATATTAAGATGTGAAGTTCCCCTTCAGGACCCAGCAGATGGCTTCCTTCAGTGAGAATCATCTCCCAGCAAGAGCTGGGACGCTTATTGTGCCATCACCCTCTCCTTTGTCATGGGACATGGGTTTTATTGTCTTTGGACTCGTAGCTCTAGCCAGATGCCAGAAACTCACTCTGATGGGCTGTTCCTCCCGTCCACAGCACTTCCTCCTGCCTGGGTGAAAGAGGAGGAGGAGCAAAGCTGCTAATGAGCTCATCTCCCTGGACTCCGCGGCAATGTCTCGGAATGGGGACAACTTTGTAGGCAAAGCCAGGTGGGCAGAGCCCTGATGTGTCCGGAGAAAGAGGTAGCAGGGAGCCTGAGGAAGAAAGAGACAAGTGAACTATATTTCCAACAGGACCAGAGTACAAGTTCACCTGCTCTAGGACCTGACGGGTTTTGTAGTTCTTCAGATTGTATACCAAGGGTGGTTGGGAATAGAAGAGCTGAAAGCTTTGGAGCACAGGCTGGCATTTAAGACATTTCACATTTTGAGAAGGAGGAGGCTGGGACTCTCAGTTCCTGTGAGAGAAGAAGCCTGAGATGTGTGAGTTCTTGCTTCCTAGAGGGAAGAGTGTTACTGAAGGGCCAAAGTAGGAGGCTAAAACACATGGCTCAAAAAAAGAAAGGAGGGCAGAAGGCTGGCTAATTAGTTCACTTGGTAGAGCACACTGCTGATAACACCAACGTCAAGGGTTTGGATCCTGGTACTGGGTGGAGCCAACAAAAATAAAAGGGGGGCAGGGTGGGAGCATGATTGGTGAAAAGAGTCGATGACATGACTTGGGAAAGTACTTGCACAGCCAAAGAGTAACAATTACTTTTATTCTATCCACACCCTTCCGGCAGCAGATCCAATGTTTTGGGCACCAAGTTCACCACCTTCGACAACGGGGTGAAACCCGGCCGGAAGAATTCCTTCCCAGAGACTGCCCGGATCAGAGAGGAGCTGGGAGTTGTGTGTTATGTGAGTGTCCCGGGGACGAGAGACAATGGGGCAGGACGGCAGGGAAGGAGAAAGAGCCAGGCCAGCTGGAATATAATACTCCCAGGAGACCAACGTCTTGGGATGGGAGCCTCGGAAAATGACTGTGATCCTCCCAGGAACTGACGGCCAGAACAAGAGAATTAGCGTCCAGCCACAAAACGTGAGTCTCCAGGGCCGAGAATCTCTGGGTCAGTGGAGGGCTGGGGGCCCGTCCTCCTAGACCCCAGGGAAGGAGGGGGCCACTGGGTTGCAGGTCACACGTGAAGCCTGGAGGACTTTGTCAGACTCCCGTGTCTCAGTGAGTAAAGACTTGAGACTCAAAAGTTCTGCTTCCGGAGGAAAAAAAGCTGGTGGGTGGTAAATTAACAAACCACGGCCCCTACTTCACCTTCTAGAAACAGGAGTCACTACTGAGTCGCCTCCAACGGGGAGCTAGCCAGGGGCTGGTCCTGCTGCAAAACAGAGCCCCGTCGTGGAGCGACCAGGACTTCTACGTGCTCAGTTTTCATGGTCGAGTCACTCTGGCCTCAGTCAAGAACTTCCAGATAGTGAATCCGGATGACCATGAGTTCCAGGGAACCGGCTTAACTGGGCAGGAACGGAGGAGAACTACTTCTCCCATCAGCACTTGAGCGTTTTTCTAGGCAGGGCAGACGCTATGCTATTGCAAAGCCTATTGGGAATTGTAGTTTACACGGCCGTCAGGGGGTTTCCAGGCTTAGTAAGGGCGCCGCACAGCGTCTTAGGAGTCGTAGTTCTCGCAGTTCGGAGGCAGGAAGATGGAAATGTCTGGCTAAGGCTTATTTCCTGACTTCCTCCTCAGCGGACTACCTGGTGCTCCAGTTTGGCCGCGTGGCCCCAGACGCTTTCACCATGGACTTCCGCTTTCCGCTTTGCCTGCTCCAAGCCTTCGCCGTCTGCTTGTCCAGTTTCCATGGGAAGCTGACGTGTAAGTGACTCAATAAAATACCGCACCCTCAACAGCTTTTGTGCCTGCTTATTTAGAGAAAGGGCCCCCGCATGGCTCTTTTTGCACCACCTTAATAATAACCAACACTTATTACACGCCACCTGGGTGTCTTGTCTGTGCTCTAAAGACTGGGCTGTGCAGCAGCACCTACTATCATGAGGTTTACAGGTGATCATGGGAGATGGTCCTTGTCAAAGAACAAAATTACAACAAATTTAGTTGAAGATCTCAATTGGCCTTATTGCGATTCTAGAATCAGGCAACACTTCATTCCATAACATAGAATAAGTGTTCCAATGAGCCAAGCAGAGGAGGTTGGTTTTATAGACAGAAAAAAGCTCTTAAAGAAAGAAGAAACAAGGGCCGGCCCGTGGTTCACTCGGGAGAGTGTGGTGCTGATAACACCAAGGCCACGGGTTCGGATCCCATATAGGGATGGCCGGTTAGCTCAATTGGGAGAGCGTGGTGCTGTCAACACCAAGTCAAGGGTTAAGATCCCCTTACCGATCATCTTTAAAAAAAAAAAAAAAAAGAAGAAGAAACAACAAAAAGCGGATTGGTCGTTTCCTAGTAAGGTGGGGGACAGGAAGACAGAACAATAGAAAACATCAGGTACATTTCAGGCTGTCTCTTTTGTGTAAAGATTAAAGCAGAGGGAACTTCATTATCTTACCTATTGGAGACTTTAAACTGGCTTGGATTAAGTCTGGACTAAGTTCCTGCACTGGAACCAAAAAGACCAGACTAAAAGTCAAAATGGAGTCAACCCTGCTAACTTCCACATCACCAACCCTAACTGTGGTCTGATCTGAGAAATTAGGAGAGAAACAGCCAATTTCCCAAACAGGCTAGTTTAAATCTTCAATAGGCATGATTATGAAATTCCCACTGCTTTAATCCTCACACAAAAAGTATAGCCTGAAGTAACCTGATGTAAACTAGTGAGTTATTTTTCTATTGTTCTGTCTTCCTGTTACCACTTTACAAGGAAAGTAACTTTGAAATGACCTATCCGCTTTTGTTGTTTCTGCTTTCTTTTAATTATTTTCTTTTTATTGTAATTAGTTTTGCTTTTTTTTTTTTTTTTTTTTTTTTTTTGCTGGCTTGTATGGGTGTATCTGCTTTCTTCAGCTTTTTCTGTCTATAAAACCAACCTCCTCTGCTTGGCTCATTGGAACACATATTCTGTTTATGGAATGCAGTGTTGCCTGATTCTAGAATTGCAATAAAGCCAATTGAGATCTCTAAATCTGTTGTAATTTTGTCCTTTGACAATGGGTAATTGAAGACATGAGTGGGTGAGAGTGAGAATAATTACACTACTAGCTAACACGAGTACTGTTTTACATTTTTTTTCTTTTTTTTTTCAAAAAGATGACCGGTAAGGGGATCTTAACCCTTGACTTGGTGTTGTCAGCAAGACGCTCACCCAGTGAGCGAACCGGCCATCCCTATATGGGATCCGAACCCGAGGCCTTGTTGTTATCAGCACCGCACTCTCCCCAGTGAGCCATGGGCCGGCCCTTTTTTTCTTTTTTAAAAAGATGACCGGTAAGGGGATCTTAACCCTTGACTTGGTGTTGTCAGCACCACGCTCATCCAGTGAGCGAACCGGCCATCCCTATACAGGACCCAACCCCGTGGCCTTGGTGTTATCAGCACTACACTCTCCGAGTGAGCCATGGGGCAGGCCTGAGCACTGTTTTAAATTTTAACTCCTTCGGGGCCTTACATTCCCGTAAGGTAGGTATAATTCTTTTTTTTTTTTTTTTTGTCTTTTTCCGTGTCCGGCAACGGATCGCAACCCCCAGCGTCGCCCCCGCACCGGACCGGGACCGGCAACGGGACCGCAGCCCCCGGTGCCGCCCCCGTGCCTCGCTCAGCCAGTGAGCGGGAACCGGTCTGCATGTGGGATCCGAACCCCCGGCGGGAGCGCCGCTGCGCCTCCCAAGCAGCGCACTATAGGCACACTGCAGATAAGGAAACTGGGCTTGTGAATGTGAAATCAGGCAATGGAAAGTCTTGAGAAGAATGTAAAGGCCGGCAGGAGATTGAGCCTTAATTCTCCAGGGTGGCACAGACAACTGGAACTTAACCGTTTCTTTTTAGGGATCAGTGAGTCAAGCCCACATCCCCCTTGCGGAGATAATTGTCACAAGTTTAATAAAATTTAGATGGATGCGAAAGAAAAACGACAAAACTCATCAGCCCGTAAGTTCAAAAGGAGATTCAGGACAAGAAGAGGAAACCCGGGGGATGACAGGAAATCTAGTTGATCCTCTATTGAGGCGCTCGCCTTTCATACTGTTCCTGGCCAACTACCTCGGGGACCCACGAATACACAAAGACGTTGCTCACTACAAATCAAAAAGCTTTATTCCTTATAAAAACCAACACTTTAAAAAAATAAATAATAACATGCAAACGTTCTGGCCTTAGCCACGCCTCCCACTAAGGCCAGACGACGCGACTAGACAGGGAGGGGAGGGTGTGGCCACGGCGCGGCTCAAGGGCGTGGCCTGTGCTGGGAATGTCGAAGGAGAGTAAGAGCAAGGCAAGGTCTCGGTAGCCGCAAGTACGGGGGCCAGGGAAGGAGGCGGGCTTCCGAGGCGGGCCCAGGCTCTGGCCCGGGCGGCAGGGGTGAGGCAGGGGCCCAACTCCTCCTGGGCCCGGGCGATGCGGCGGGCGAAGCGACTCCGATCCCGGGCGAGCTGCTCCCAGGGGCCCCGGCGGGCAGCCTGGGCCGGCCCTGCCCAGACAGCCAGGAAATGGACGGTGACCTTCTCAGAGAAGCGCACCTGTGGACAGACGGGCAGACACGTGTAAACACAGGGACACAGACACAAGATGCACATGGCCACGGGGATCCGGTTGGGGGTGGGGGTATAGAGAAGCAAACAAAAAGTAGTTACACAAAAATGCTTGCCATCTGGCTAGTCATGGCTGTCACGGGATTCTCCATCTGACTCACTGAAGGTAGAGGTGGTTTCCTGGGGCTGCTCCCTCTCCCGCAGGGGCCCAGCCGCTTACAAAGCATTGCCTGACAGTGTACACGGCCCTCCCAACAGATTTCTCATGCAATTCTCTGTAACACACGGGGGACCCAGGATTCCCAGCCTCCAGCCCTTTCCCCCTGACCCAGGAGTTCCAGCTCCCAGGCTCCACCTCCCTAAGACACAAGAATCTGGGCCTTAAGCACCCACCTTTCTGGCCTTTAGGGGAGTCTCAGGGTCTGAATCCCGCGTGTGGGTTTCTGAGAACTTGAGCCGTCTTTGCAGTCGGAGGGGCAGCTTAGGAGGAGCCCAGGGAAGTGGTGGCTTCTCTCCAGGTAAATAGATGGCCACTCGGAAGGGGGAGGGCTCAGCTTCTCCCCGTTTCTCAGCTGCTTCCTCTTCCTCTGCCTCCTCTCTGGGTGGATATATCCAGCTCCTGAGGAGGGCACCTTGGACCTGAGGGGAGGGGTGTGGGTCTGAGTCAGCTCCTTCCACCTCAGCTGCTTCTGAATCATCTCCTTTATCCTCAGTCTCGTCATAGTCATCTTCCTCCTCTGTGTCCTCTCCCGGCCTGTACACCCAGGCCTGCAAGAAGCCACCTCTAGGGCGAGTAGAAGAGGAAGCCTCAGCCTCTTCCACAGCTGATTCAGAATCACTATCTTCTTCATCTTCCTCCTCCTCTGTGTCCTCTCCTGGCTGGTACACCCAGGCCTTCAAGAAGCCACCTCTAGGGCGAGTAGAAGAGGAAGCCTCAGCTCCTCCCTCTTCCTCAGCTAATCCTGAATCACTATCCTCATCTTCCTCTGTGTCCTCTCCTGGCCAATATACCCAGGCCCTCTCGAAGTCACTTGTAGGGGGGATGGAAGAAGGACCCAGAGCTCCTTCTTCCTTCTCAGCTGCCCCCAAAGCATTGTCCTCATCCTCCTCTTCATCTTGTTTCTCTGCATTCTTACTGGGTTGATACTCCCACGCCCGGAGCAGGGGCCTCTGGGCTGGAGCTGCGGAGTGTGGCTCTGGGTCAGCTTCTCCTTTCTCAGCTGCTTTGTGTGCCTTTTCATCCTTCTCCTTAGCCTCCTCTCCTGAACAAAACTCCCAGGCCCTGGGGTTGGATCCTGAAGATGAGGGGGTAATGGAAGTCTTCCAGGCTTCTTTATTTTCTGTTCTTTCTTCCTCCGTAGCTCGATCCTCTCCCTCCCCAGGGCAATACACCCAAGTGTTGGGCTTGGATCCTGGAGATAAAGGGGAACTAGAAGTTCTGGGAGCTTCTTTCTTTACAGCCTCTCCATCTTCCCTCTCTTCCACCATTGGACAAGACTCCCAGTGTGATGAAGGACAAGGGAATTTGGCCACTACCTTATCTTCAGCAACTCTCTCTTCCTCAGCTTCCACCTCCCCAGGGTTCTTATCAGAATCTTGCAGGGTTTTTATCAGCAGGCTGCGGGACAGGGAAGCAAGGTGGCTATCTGTAAATTCACTTCTCTGCTCTCTAGGGACACTGGTTGCTTCTTTCTTGCAATACTCTTCATCATTATTATCTGAAAGTCCCCAAGCTTCAAGAGGGGAACTGTTGGCTTTCAGGTTAAGGCATGCCCCCCAGGCTGCTCCTCCATCCTCTTCAGCTGCTCCACTGTCTTTAGCTTTGCCTTTAGGAGGACTGCCCCAGGGGGCATGGTGGGTCACCAGAGGAGGCTTAGCTTCTCCCTCTAGGACAGCTTCTACCTGATCTTCTCCTATTACTGTTTCCACCAGCCAGGGTTCTGGAGGTCCTGGACCCTTCAGGTGGCTCCAGGCGCGGCCGAGGAAGCCCATCAGTGGGGACAGGAGAAAGAAGGGGTAGACATCCCTCCAGGGGGTGGCCTGATGGGGTACTTGGCCTGGGGCCATCTGTCTGGGCTGGAAAAGGATGAGAGAAAAAAAGAAATAAGGTTTATGAGCCATTTAGGGAATGGCATCAGGGCAGGACCATGAGTCATAGCAAGGTAAATAGTAACACAAATAACAACAGGAGAATCCCTGCCCCAAATTCCTTTCAGGTCCCAGCCACTTCCATCTCTGTCCCTTGGTTCCCTTCTCTCTCCACTCTCAATACCCAAGACTCAGGGCCCCCAGTTCTCCTGCATTAGATTCAAAAGTCCAAGCCCCCAGCCCCATCTTTCCTCAGACCCAAAAGTCCCAGTCCCAAGAACCAAGAACAAAGGCCTTTTGTGTTTTGTTTTGTTTTTTGGCGGCTGGCCGGTGCGGGGTTCCGAATCCTTGGCCTTGGTGTTAGGAAGAACAAAGGTCTTTTACTTGCTTCCCTTGGGAATAAAGTCATAGTCTCCAGTTTTCTCATCCTCCTGAGGATTGACAAATCAGTCCCCATCACCTTACTCCCTTGGAGACTCACATATTCTGACCTCAGATGATTCCTTCACTGGGGACCCAAGAGTTTGGCTCCCAGACCCTCCTCCCTCAGGTTCAGTACTCTAGGCTCCCAAGTCCTTCTCCTTCTTAAATCCGAGCCCTCAGGCCAGTATTCCAGATGCCGAAATCCGACCCCCATCCCGTCTCTCCCCAGACCCAGGAGTCCGGGCTCCCAGGCCCTCCTTCCTCAGGACCCAGAAGTCCCGGCCTTCAACACTCCTGTTTTGGAACCCAGAAATTCGAGCCCCAACTCCATGGAGACCCGGGTGTTCTGACTCTTTACTCACCGACTGGGGGCTGTGCCTCACCCCGGGGGCAGGAGCGCTGGTTCGGGCTGCCAGAAGCGATCGCACGTCCGGACGGCTCGGGAGGCCAGCGCGTTCATCTCGCCCTCAGGAGTCGGGCTCCGGGGGACTCAAAATATCCCGGGCTGCCGCAAGTGCTGTCGCGACAAACAAGCTCGGCGTCGCGCAGCATCTAACTCGCAAACGACTATCGGGCTGGTAAGTGCTCCAAATCACCGCGGAAACCGCCCGCAAGGCCTTTATAGTCCACCACGGTCGACGTGCTGGCGTCACGAGGGGAGGCGGGGTTTCGATACGACATCGCGCAGGGCGGGAGGGGAAAAGAAGACGGGACTTCTCGCGGAGATTCCGGACTTGTGACGTCACGGCGGCATTTCCGCGCGTGGTCCCGCCCCCAAACGAGAGAGCTGTCAATTAAAAGGCGAGGACTTCGTAAGCAAAGAAAAGGCTCTGTCAACTTCATTTTTGGTGGCTGGCTGGTAATCGCTCAGCTTCTGATCTGAGCAAGCGCCTTCCCACCAACCTGGAGTCTCGCACCTTCACATCCAGTTGGCTTCCTCCCGGGTGGAAGGTTATCATTGTTCCCATGTCACAGATGAGGAAATAGGATCGGAAATGAAGCCACTTGCCCAAGGTGGTCACAGCAGAGTCCAGATTCATTGCCAGTGAGAATGAGAATGGAAGCACCATGGAGGCAGGCACTGCTTTCTTCGAAGTGGCTACAACAGTGCCTCGTACATAGTAGGTGCTCAACAAATTTATGGCGAATGGCTGCTAAACCAAAAGCTCAGACTCTTCAGTCACAGGCACACGGCTCCACTCTTGCGTTTCACCTGCTTCGAACTGAGGCAAAAGCCCTGCTTACACAAACTGAAATTCTGACTGAATGTCACTCCTCATGGGAGTGAGAGGTTTCTGCTGCACATTTCTGGCCCAGGGACACAGTGTCAATTCTCCGGCCCTCTTCCCCTACTTAGTTCATAATCTTGTCCCTCAAAATATGCCCAAGAACCATGTCCCCCTCCCTCACTTGGATCTGAGGTGGAGATTTAAAGCTGGCCTCTTGACTCCGCCAGAATCCAGGAATTCGGGACCACTTCCTTTTCCTTTGGGGACCTGGACAATCAAAGCCACTCTGTCAGACACTTCCAGTTTTTTATTTACACCTCAGGAGTCCTGACTCCTAGCTCACACCTTCTCAGGCACCCAGGAGACTGAATCCCTAACCCCAGTCCTTTCAGCGCCTTCCAGGAGTCTGAGCCTCCACCCTTTGCAAGACCGAAGCCTCCTCCCTTTAGGGCACCAGTGGCGCAGGCCTCTGACCACAACAAACCCACTGGGGCTCAGGAGTCTAGGTTTCAGCTCCTATTCTCCAAACATTGAGGAGTCCCAGCCTCAGGCCTTAGGGGACCCACGAGTAAGGGAGCCCCCAGCCCCTCCCCTCAGCTGTGGGGGCAGCTGAGCCAGGGGTCAGACTATGGTGGGGAGGCCAGAAGGGGCGGGGACAGTCGGGATTGGGAGGGGAGACAGCCGCGTGGGCGTCTGGCAGAGGGAGGGAAAGACCAGCAGAGAGGAAAGAGAAACTGGGAGAAGGAGGAAGAGAGAAAGTGAGAAGGGAATTCAAAAGAAAGAAGGGAGGAAACAGCAGACGTGGAGGGCCAGAGAGAGAGAAAGAGGAAGAGACTGAGTGTGCGGGAGAGATTCACAGCAGGACGGAGTGAGATAATGAGACAGAGACTTAAGGACGAGATTCTGTGAGTCCAGGAGAAAAATATTTGGACAGAACAGAAAGATTGGGAGAGAGAGTGATAAGGGGGGAGAGAATGAGTGAAAGAGAGACTGGAAGAGACAGAGACTGGAAGAGAGAGTGAGACAGAAGGTGAAACCGGGAAAGAGAGTCTAAAAGAGAGAAAGAGAGAGAATAAGAGGTGGGAGACAGAGAGCACGAATGAGCAGGTGAAAAGAGAGACTGGGTACTAGGAGAGACACTGCCTAAGAGACAAAGGAGGTGAGAGATTGTCTCAGTGCCCCAGCAGCGACACCATCTTCTTGCCCCTGTCATTGGGACCCTAGAGCTGGGTAAGTTCCCTGGTTGGGCTGGGAGGGGCTGCCTGGGTGTACATTCTGGTGCCACAGGGCTTGACTTGGGGAGTTGGAAGGGTTGGTTTGGGTGTGTGTGTGGGAGGCCAGGAGACAGGTAGCCTGGGGTAGCCAGAAGGAGGGAGGGAATTGGGGGTCCCTAAGCACAGAGAGGGTCAAATTCCTGGCCAGAGTGCAGTGGGCAGGAATAAAGGAGCCCCTATTCTTTGGCCTGGGCTGCAGACAGCTGCCCCCTCCCCGCAGCTGCCAGTACCGCCTACCTCTCTTGGCATTGCTCTTGGTATGCGGTCCTGGGCCATGGCCTCCCCCAGCCCCCAAGTTCCCAAACAACAGGCCCTTTCTCCTCAGCCTCCTTTGACCTCCATGTCCCTGACCCCATCTCTGTCCCAACTGGGTTAGCTGCAGAGACACAGCCCTTACTTTCTCTCCCCAAGCCCTTGATGGAGGAGGGTAGACCTTGGAGCAGCCTCAGCCTGGCCAGCAGTGCCTCTACCATCTCTTCACTGAGCAACCTGAGTACCAAGGTTTGAGCCTCCTGGTGGGAATGGGGAGGAAGATGGGGCTCTGGGCTGCTCCCTCCCCCTGTTTCCTGGCCCTGGGTTCTGTGCCACCCCAGGGAGTGTTGTTAAGGGTTGTTAAGAACGAGGATCCTAAGGGCCAGCCCATGGCTCACTTGGGAGAGCGTGGTGCTGACAACACCAAGTCAAGGGTTAAGATCCCCTTACCGGTCATCTTTAAAAAAAAAAAAAAAAAAAAAAAAAAAGGGGGACCCAGGGGTCAAACCCCCAAACGGCCCCCCCCCCAAAATTAAAAAAAAAAAAAAAAAAAAAAAAAAAGGGGGACCCAGGGGTCAAACCCCCAAACGGCCCCCCCCCCAAAATTAAAAAAAAAAAAAAAAAAAAAAAAAAAGGGGGACCCAGGGGTCAAACCCCCAAACGGCCCCCCCCCCAAAATTAAAAAAAAAAAAAAAAAAAAAAAAAAAGGGGGACCCAGGGGTCAAACCCCCAAACGGCCCCCCCCCCAAAATTAAAAAAAAAAAAAAAAAAAAAAAAAGAACGAGGATCCTAGGGTTCAATCCCCGAACTGGCCAGCCACCAAAATTTAACAAAACAAAAACAAACAAACAAACAAACAAAAAGAGTAAAGATCCTTAGCAATGGGGTCTGATATACCTAGTAAGCTCCCAAATTGCCCATCAGTCACAGCAGCTAGGAATTCAGAGGCACTCCCAGCTCTGTCCCCACCCCTACTATTTTCCTAATTCTAAGCCAGAGTAACAACCTCCCTTGATCCTGGTTGCTAAGATAAGGCCACTCCCCAGCCATGAGGCCCCTCTAGGAACTCAGAAGCCATGGCTATTCTTGATTAGGACTGGGGACTCCCTGTCCTATCTCTAGCTGTTCAATCTACCCACTAATGAAATCGAATAAGAAAAGGCCCTTCTCTGACAATAAGGCCCCATAGGGCCTCGAGATACATGTGTCCCAAATCGTCACCCCAGCCAAAAGTTCAGCGGTGACACTCATTTCTTTGTCCTCCTGTCATTCTATTCACACATTTTCAGTTTCCAAAGTTCAGAGTCCAGAGATTTGATCCCAGACTTGGTCAGCACCACCTACCTCCAAGGAAGAACTTTCTGTGGCGATCTGCATGTGGATGCTTGAGATATTTTTGTGTATCAGGAGAGGCAACCCCATCTGAGTGAAATGGGAGGATTTGAAGCCCCTTCTCCACCTTGGACTTGGTTGCTAAGGGATGTCACTGCACAGCCTCAAGGCATCCTCTGATTTATTAGGGATTCAGTATGGAAGTTCCTCCTGATGATGAGAACCTCCCAGCCATATTCCCAGTTCAGATCCCAATGGCTCTATGACATCTTTGGCTCTGGTGGCCAAGGGCATCCTCTTCTTGGCAGTCAACACTTGATTCCCAAATTCCTTCCCCACAGCCTCTTCCTTGCTTCTGAGCATTTCCCTACATGCATCAAAAACGTTTCTCAACTGTGTACTATGAGCAACCCACAATTCCTATCTCCAAACTCAGTTCCCTCCATGTTGAATTCTAAGGACAACCAAGTGAGGGTATATGGTTGCCTGTGTCCTACCTCACCCCCTTTTGAGCTGATCCAGAGGCCCTGTTCACTTCTGTCTCCTTTCTTTCCTCAGAAGCCCACCCGGGCAGTAAACAAGCTCCACGCCTTTGGGAAGAGGGGCAATGCACCCAGAAGGGATCCCAACCTCCCCGTGCACATCCGAGGCTGGCTTCATAAGCAGGTGGAGTCAGGAGGAGAAGGAAAAGAACACTAGAGACTGTGTCCCTGGCTGTCCACTGTTTGTCTCCTTCCAAGTCCCCAAATGTGTTTCTTTATTGCTATCACTGCCTCTCCCCTTATTCTGTCATTGTTTCACTTGTTCATTCATTAATTAATTTATTCATTCATTCAATAACCACTTCTTGAACACTTACAATGGTCCCGGCCCTAGGGCACACACTGTGCAAATAAGATAAGTACCTACATTACATTCAAGATGGGGTCGGGCAGGGATGGATTATAAATCAGTAAACAAATAAATGGACTTGATTATTTCAGATTGCAGTAGTGCTGTAAAGAAATAACACATAGTGATGTGCTCAAAAGTGGCTGAGGGATGAGAGCTACATTTGACTCTTGGTCAGGGAAGTCCTCTCTGAGATGACATTTGAGCTGAAAACTAAATTCCAAGACGTAGCCCACCATGCTAAGATCTGGAGGCAGAGGGCATCCAAAAAGAAAGGCCCTGCAGCAGGCAAAAGCTAAAAGAGCAAGCCGAGGGTAGAGAAAGAGGAGCATAGGCCGGGCAGCTGTTCTCAAAGCAGTGTTAGCATCAGCTGGGAACTCGCTAGAAATGCAGACGATCAGCTCCCACCCCAGATTTACTAAATCAAGAGCTCTGGGAGTGGAGCTCAAGAATCTGTGTTTTAACACGCCTTCCTGGTGATTTTTACTCACTCTCAAGTTTGAGACTTCCTGCAAACTAAGGTAAGGAATTTGAGATTTATTCTTTTTTTTTAAAGATGACTGGTAAGGGGATCTTAACCCTTGACTTGGGGTTGTCAGCACCACGGTCACCCAGTGAGCTAACCGGCCATCCCTATATGGGATCCGAACCCGTGGCCTTAGGTGTTATGAGCACCACACTCTCCTGAGTGAGCCACAGGCTGGCCCGGAATTTGAGATTTATTCTAAGTGTGATAGTAAGCTCTGTTTTGAGAAGGGGACTCACATAATCTGACTTATAATTTTTAAAGATCATGCTGGCTTCTACAGAAACAATTGAAGAGAAGAGGGGCACGAGGTTGGATGAAGTGGTTCAGGCAGAGGTGATGGGGAGACACGGGATTCGGGGTATGGCTCAGTGCTGCCTTCCTGGCCTCCCTGTGTCTCAGGCTCCAGAGTAATTGGACCGGGTCTGTGTATATAAAGCCCCTGCCCACGTGTGGTACATTATCTCATCCAAACCTCCCTGAAACTTTTCAACCTTTAATGGACTGATGAGAAAATATGAATGGCTTAGTGGGAAAATGACTTGTTTAAGGGTACAGTTTCAAAGGGGGTGGAGCTAGGAGTCAAACCCAGGTCCATTCAGTTGTGTCCAGGATCAATGTCAGCTCAGCCACAGCACACTGGCTTCCAGCTCTCCATCCGAATCTACAGCATCCAACGCACATCTCTGTCTCCAGTCTGTCTCTGTCCTTCCTCCCCATGTCTCTGACCCTCCCTCCTCAGGTCTCTTTCTCTCTCTGGGTTTCTATCTCCACTGTCAACGTCTCCATCTCCTTTTTCCCTCTCCGCTCTACTCAGGCTCCTCCTCCCATGTCTCAGCAGGACAGCTCCGGGCTCCGGCTGTGGAAACGCCGCTGGTTCGTCCTCTCCGGCCATTGCCTCTTCTATTACAAGGGTCAGTGCCCTGGCTGCGTAGGGGGTCCTCCGACCCGCCCTTCCCACTAGCCTTTGGGGCTCCTGTTCCGTGGGTGATCCCTGACCCCAAACCCTCTGCAGACAGCCGCGAGGAGAGCGTCCTGGGCGGCGTGCTGCTCCCTAGCTACAGTATCAGGCCAGACGGGCCGGGGGCCCCTCGAGGGCGGCGCTTCACCTTCACCGTGAGTCCGTCCATCCCCACGGGCACTAGGCGCGGGGCGGGGGTGGACGTCTGCTGAGGGAACGCTGCGTCCCAGACTGGAGATAAGAGTCCTTGTCCAGCATCCATGGCAGCCTCCTTTTTAGAGGGTCCCGGCGTCCGGGTTCCAGACCCTCTCCTCCCGCAGGCAGAGCACCCAGGCATGAGGACCTATATTCTGGCTGCGGACACATCAGAGGACCTGCGGGGCTGGCTACGGGCGCTGGGCCGGGCCTCCCGGGCGGAAGGGGAAGACAGGTGAGTGGAGTCCAGCCACGCCCCTGACGCCGTTCCTCCATTCACAGCCAGTCTAACCGTCCCAAACCCCGCCCCCTGGAGGCCCTGCCCCCTTGAACGCCCAACCACTAGTCTTCTAGCTAAGGAGCTCCGCCTTCCAGGCCCCGCCTCCAGGGAGCTTCAGCTCTTCCCATCAGCAGAGAGCCTTTCTCTTTGAGGCTCCGCCTATCGCCTTGTCCAGCGCCGTTCTACCCCGCCCCCAGTCAGGGAGCCAGGAGATCCAGCAGACGTTCTCAGCATTGGCCCAGGAACTGTCACTACTCGACAGTCTCTGACCGGCTCCCTCACGAGTCTCCACCTCACAATGTCAAATAAAAGACGACGTCAGATCTTTCAAAAATATCTGTCGCGGTCTGTCCCGATTCTCAGGCTGGAGACGGGACTCCCCGCCTCAGTCCGCGTCACAGTCCGGCACATGGACTGTTCAGTGACCTGAATGGATCATCTGGTCTGGCACAAGTCACTTGCACATTCGGAGCCTTTTTCCTCATCTGCAAAATGGGAACAATGATTTACAGTGCACAGCCTCATCTTCTCGGGCGGGTGCCTGTGCCCTCATCTGCGAAAAGGGAGTAGTCTGATGTGAGGTTCAAAGGAGCGATGTCTCGGGCCGGCCCGTGGCTCACTCGGGAGAGTGCGGTGCTGACAACACCAAGGCCGCGGGTTCGGATCCCACATAGGGATGGCCGGTTGCTCACTGGGTGAGCGTGGTGTGGACAAAGGAGTGATGTGTTCTTCCATGCCCACTCCCTAGTGGGCAAACCAGGTCACCTGCACGTCCCCAGCCAGGGGAGGGCCCTGGCGGTCCCGGCGGTCCCCCAGAGGTGAGCAGAGGAGAAGACAGGCGAACCTCAGAATCACCGGAGGTGGCTCGGCTGTCCAGAGGTCGAGGTAGACCCGGGCTGCTCACTCCCAGCCCGACAGCCGACCTCCAGTCTGGATCCTGGATTCGGAGGGCGAGGAGCCCGGAGTGAGTAGGACTGACATCTTTGGGGACGTGACCTAAGAGAATCGCAGGACTGGGGACGGGCTAGGGACGTGGCTTGGTGTTTTCTGCATGCGGGTGTGTGAGTTGCTGGGGCTCCTGTGGGGTCACAGCCTGTCGGGGGGACGTTATAAGGGGGAGATGCCACAAAGGGGAAATTATTCGGGATCTGGCCGGTAGGGGAGGTCTTTCCTATACAGGCACAGTGAGACAGTGAAATGAGACAAATCCTTGAGGCTGCCTTGATTGGTAGTGGGGTGAAGGGGGACGGAGGGACTCTAGTTGATTCAGTTCCCCAACGCTCTCCTCCCCGCAGCCTGTTCACACCCCTCTCTCGCCCTCCCTCTCCGCTGGGCCTCCCTCGTCCCCGTTCTGCTCCTGCGTGGCGACCTCCTCCCTCCTCAGGAGACACAGCACCCCCTGCTCGACCTCACACCCCCCAGAGTCGCATCGATGTCCGGCCCCCTCTAGATTGGGGCCCTCAGCGCCAGACCCTCTTGCGTACCTCTACTCGCCATCGAGGACTCTCCTCCGAGGCTCCGGGAGGACGGCCCCCCAGGAGCCCCCAGCGCTGGAGTAGGGAGCCCAGAATACAGGTGAGCAGGGAGCTGGAGGGGAGGGGGACTACGTTTCCCACCAGGCCTCAGGGCTGTTCTTCCAGTCTGGTCTCTGGCCATTGTTTTTAAAGCACTGCAGTCATTGTAATCCAGAATACTCTCCACCAAGACAGTCCTGCCAGAGGTAGAGTGGTTTGCATCTGCCTTGTATCCCCAGTTTATCTTTTCAAGTTGGCTACCTGCTATTTTCTCTGAGCATCATGGGACTATGGCCCAAAATATCCATAACTAACTGCAAATGTGACAGTGAGAGTAGGATGCAACTTCCATCAGCCCCTAGGGCTGCTTTGCCAGGCTAGTTCACTTACTGTCATCCTCTGTGTCCCCACAGTGACACACAACTGGAGAGAGGGTGGTTGAGAAAGTTGAGGAGGCTCAGTTCTGAACCTCAAAAAGTTTTCTAACGGGGCCAGCCTGCAGCTCACTCAGTAGAGTGTGGTGCTGATAACACCAAGGCCACAGGTTCGGATCCCATATAGGGATGGCCGGTTCGCTCACTGGCTGAGCGTGGTGCTGACAACACCAAGTCAAGGGTTAAGATCCCCTTACCGGTCATCTTTAAAAAAAAAAAAGTTTGCTAAGGCACTTCAATTCTGGACACACGCACTCTAGTATTTGTTACTAGGACATGCCAGTTTCTTTTTTTCTTTCTTTCTTTCTTTCTTTCTTTCTTTCTTTCTTTCTTTCTTTCTTTCTCTTCTTCTTCTTCTTTCTTCTTTCTTCTTTCTTCTTTCTTCTTTTTCTTCTTTCTTCTTTCTTCTTTCTTCTTTCTTCTTTCTTCTTTCTTCTTTCTTCTTTCTTCTTTCTTCTTTCTTCTTCTTCTTCTTCTTCTTTTTTTTTTTTTTTTTTTTTTTTTTTTTTTTTAAAATAGCC